TACCCAATCTGTTCAAACAGCTCTAACTGCCTCATGAATCCTTCATTTGGTCTGTAAAACAAAATATTTTTCCACTGTATATTATACTAATTCTTATTTTCCTTTTTTTAAATACATACTAATTCTTATTTCCCATTGGTTAAATATATACTATTTCTTATTTCCCACAAAAAATATACTAAGTCTTATGTTCTTATATACATTGTACATGTGTAAATATACAAATAATCTTATTTCCAACTGAATAAAATATCATAATATTTTTTTACCCTGTATCTTTCACAAAATCTATTTTTTTACACTGCATCTATATACATACAATGTATACTAATGTAACATAGAGTCTTAGATTTTTGTAAAGTTATACTGCATACAGGACATACTTTATCTTTTTCCTATACTGTTTCACTATATGCATGGCCACCTCCAGAGGTATTTTGCTCTTATACATTAAATATCCCACAGCTATGGTAGAACTACGTGACATACCTGCAAGACTGAAAACAGAAGAAATGCAATATCAAAAATATTGGCAAATAACTTAAAAAGTATGGTGGTGATCCCCATAATTTTTTCATCAATTTGTTTTGATTATAATTCTCTTAAAACATGCACAATTTAAGGAAATGTTCACTACAAGTTTAAATTTTCCTTCTTTGCCTTTGTAACAGCTTACTTAAATTTTCAATAAGGAGCCTAATACCTCAACTTAGCTATAAAATTGTGTAGCTCATATAATCAGCTATGAACTTACCAAGAATTCAGAAGTAGCTAAAACCTATCAAGCTAGCTATGAACTTACCAATGAATTAAAACTTTTCCATTCTGTTTGTCTGCCTCATCAATAAAGTTAAACATGTGTTCAAACTGTGACAATAAGTCTGTAGTCTCCATATCAAGACATTGGTGGTACAGGTACCTAAACATCCCATTCTCCTTCAAGTACAAAATGAATGATACATTATAAAATTGATATGATGCATCATCTTATGATTCTGGGCTTAAATTCGGCCCCATTCTCTTTCACATGTAATACATGATTATTATGAAAGTTAAGTTGAATGTTCATTAATGAATATACAAATAGTTATTGGGGAATTTTAAACAAGAGCTGTCAGTAGGACAGCAAAATGGACTATTTAGTAATAATTAATAGTGCTTAATACTAGTAAAACAAAAGCCTGGATAATATAAGAATTAACAAAAGAAGATTTAATTTGAAAAGAATACACAACATAGTTATCAATCTTGGATATTGACCAAATAATTCTGTATGTTTACAAAGTGTCATATTTCATAGTATGGTGTACATAACAAAAAAAATATTTTAATTTTTTCCTATTCAATAATAATGAAAAATAAAAAAAGATTTTTTAGGAACAATTACTATACCTCTATCCATTTCAATGGATATTTATCTACGGTAAGGATATGTGTAATTCCAGCTTCATTGCTTTTTTGTAGTGACTCAGCGTCTTCTCTGTCACCTATATAAATACACATGTCTCCAACTCTATCCATTATTGTGCGGATCTGGAATATATTCTGCAAATTTTAGATTAACATTACAAATAAGCTTAAGTAGAGTAAGACAGAATATTACAGGACAAGTAACAATCAAATACATTAGTGGCCAAATGTTAGCGTCCAAGGCCGTTACAGGTGAAGGCATGATAGAGTCTGCAGTTAGCAGACACCCTTGAGAGGGAAAGTAAGAGGCATAGAAAACTCCCTCAGAAAGAGACAGGAGTTCCATTTGTTCCTACACTGACGATGTTGACAGTTCATTTTGCAGTACGAAACTGTATGTAAGACAAAGAGTCCAGAAATATTATGATATCATTCAGCAGGTATTTATTAAACATTTAAAGCTGGAACATAAAATGTACATGTACATGTATGCCACATATTAGAGAGACAAATAACTTAATAAGGTCTTCAGATTCATATTTGAATTTTTATATTTGTGACCTCAGATAAACATAGCACAAATCACGCTCATGTGTTGTAGTGATAAATCATATCATTTGCAATGAATTAAGCTGTCGTTATAACAAATCTCACTTTTATTTTTATATCCAAAAATATTATCTCCGGCTACCCTGCCACTTTTTCGCGAAAACAAATTATTTTTACAGCCAAAGCAAATTTTTAGCCTTGCATTAATATTGTCAGAAAAGACTTAAGTCTTAGTAGTATATTTTATAAGTTATAAATAAAAATGTAATTAACAGATCTAACAAAATAAGTAAGTTTCGTGGTGATTGAGAAATCGGTTTGCTATGTATAAAACCCGTCAATGACACGTCCCATTTTGGTTATTGACCACTAAATAATAAGAAAGTTGAACACTACTAAATACCTTTCATGGCTTTCACAGGTGGTGTCACCCCGGTACGGAATTAGACCCAGCCCGTTGTAGTCTAGAAAGTAGTTCTTTTAAATTTTGAAATGGCCTATTTCATATCATCTTAATTGATACTGGTTATATTTTAAGTATATCTTTAGTTATTATGTACATGAAGTTTCATTTCTGAGTACTTTAAAGGTTGTTTTTGGTGTATTTTTGCAGGATTTCATTTCTGGGTGGAAGGTTTCATGAGGCACTATGCACAAGAATACACACCAGTTACTATTTGGAATATTCTATAGTGATTACAGAAATTAAAAGCTGCAGAAAAACTCCAAGGGCTAATGTATTATTTTTTTGTGCTAAATTTACTTGGACTGCATTGGTGTTTAAAGAAATGGTCATGAAGTTTCGGTACCGGATTTGTTTTGTCCAGAATTTAGCCTTAAATGTGATGGATTTACTATAGGATATATGGGTCGAAAATTCAGTAGGCCGTGTCCAGGTGTAAACAATTATGCGACTGTAAGACACAAAAGACAAAATTGCCAGTGCTTTATGCTTGTTTTTGAATAATTATGTTTTTTCCTTCCGTCTGTATAAGACATACTTTTAAAAGCTATCTTTATCATTTTTTAAAAGGAACGGTTAAACAAAACACCCGTATACATTTTATTAGCTCTGCATCTAAACTTAAATTAAAGAACAATGTGTATATACGTAACGCTATACATATATGAGTAGTTTGCCAGTAGGTGGAGCTTAACTGTATTGTTTATTATGAATCACTACACCTTCCATCAATTTTTTTACGGATTACGTGTTGGCATTGGTTAAAAAAGTTTACAAAAGTGAAAAATGAAACTTTGTACATACTGCATAGTAGGATTGATGAATTAGTTCGCTGATATTGAGAGCAGTAGAGGCAGAGTGACAATTGGTTTTCAAATCAAAAGCATTCAAAAATGCAATTACTGTAACTTATATATATATGAACATTAATTGGTAATGTTTTGCTGTCGGGTAAAATGCATATTTTTACGAATCTGGAGATGTAGCTATGTATTTGTAGCTATATGTTGTGATATTATTTCATAGAGCATTATTAAACGGGCTCTTGGTCTTCTGAATTCGTTGTATGCATGGGCAAATTATCACTTTCTATTATTTTTAGAAGTGCAGTGTATCAAATACTCTTTCTAGAGGGTGCAATAGGGGTTTAAATCTTTATAAATATTCATTTGTACTTTCCTTGTGATGATAGGTACACGGTGTGATTGTTCCATTCCATGTCCTACTTTCACCATCCTTAAGACGCTTAGGAGGCTGAATTCTTCTTCTTCGTCTTCTTATTTCTTTGTTTGTTTGTTGCATTTCATTGTTTGTACTTGGGGGTCACCGACCTCGTTTTCGAGCTATTGGCCTTTTTGTTATTTTATGTAATTTCAAAGGTAGATACATTAGCCTTATAAACCGTATTTTTTGCAACTGGTTTATGCTTTTTATTTTATTCTCGATCACAATACCAAATTTCATGGAACTGTTTGTTTTTTCCCTTCTTTCAGTAGGTAGACTGAACACTCTTATTAAAAGGGCCATGACATAGTTTTAAGTAAAAATGAAACTTTAAACAGACAACATTCGCCATTTGTTTTTAGATTTTGCATATTCACTATAATGAAAGTCAATTACAGGAAATGCAAAAACAATAAGAAATTGCTTACTTTGATTTTGAATTATTTATCCTTGAAGAAAGCACACAGAGCAAATAACTTGAAAATGAGGTCGGTGACGCCGATTGTGCTAGTACATGTCCATCTTTCGATCACAATATAGCCATTAATCATTTTAAGGAAACTGACTAAATAAAGAAGTCGGAAAATAATGAAACGACACGGGTGTGCATGGCTGGTCTTGGTCAAGACTGATCGCATTTGTTGCCAAGAGTTCATGCAATTGTATTAATGAATTGATCTGGCATAATTTGAATTTCCACCTGATGCATTTTGAAATGTTTTCTGGTCAAGTGATATCATAGTCGAAACTGTTGACATACATTAAGATACTTTTTAAACTTTTTTCAATACTCGCAAAATTATCGCAAAAACAATTAGAAATAATAACGCCCTAATAAACGATAAAACAATTTCAATGTTATTTCCTTTTATTTTGAACTTGATGTATAAACTATGTATTATTGCAAAGTATATTAAACACGCTACATGTAAGTGGCTCATAGGCATGGTTCGGGCGCTAACTATAACTTTGCCCGTCCTTTTTCGCAAATGAGCAGATTTGGGCCGTTTTTTTGGGGATCCAACAACCCTTTTTGGGAAAAAAGAAGGGCCGCGCGTATGGTGAGGGGCGACTAGCTAGTGGGAAAACGTGCGGGGTAGTTTTAAAATTTTCTTGCAAAATACTAATCTTTCCCCGCCCTTTATCTTTTCCCCCTTTCCCGGGCTAGAGCCCTAACCCGGGGTTTCTGAGTTTTAGCAAAAAACCCTAGCGCCCCAACCCTGCCCTAGATGGAAGCAATTATTATTCAAATCGTTTATATATATTTTTTTCTTTTTCAGCTTATTAATACCTTTCTTAATCGAAAAATCACTATAAAAATATAAAACAACAACAACAACAACAACAAAACATGGGTTTTTCCAAATGATTTATGTAATGATTTTGGCTCCTAATTTTTCATCATCATCATTCTTTTATTTAATTCTCAAAATATATATCAATACAAAAAAAATCATTGTGATCACGTGGGCATCAAATGGGTTTCATGATGACAGACTGAACCAAACATTTACAAATTCTGCTTCCGAAATCTTCCCGTCCACTGAAATGTTGAAATTAGAGAATGAAAATCCAGTGATAGAATAAATGGCATTAGAAAACACAACTACAAAAGCAACAACAAAAATGGAAGAAAACAATGGAAAATTGCGCATTGGTATATTTCTTCGTGGTCTGGGTTGCTTAGGCTGACCTCTTAATCTATGCTATTTTGGCTGATAATGAAACCATATAAACAATATAAAATTATATACGGCCGTAGTCATTTTATGAGATTAATTATTTGTATCTCTAATAAAGGACGTTTAAGCAATATAATTCGTTATAAAAACTTTTAGTCATGACATTTTGGCAGGTTATATGGCCACATATGACCGGTTGTTTGCGATATAACCCTCGCCTATCGACTCATGTTATATATTTATCCAAACAACCGTTTATAATGCCATATAACCTGTCAAAAATCTATTGGAAAATAATATTTATACCGTTAAACCTGTGAACAAAGGCAATCCAATTGAAATACAAATAATACTGTCTTTATAGACAAGTTGTCTTTATTTGGAGGTAATGTCATTTCATTTGATCAATGCAAAGTTAACAAAAATGTTCTTTATTTGCAGGGTTATCTTTATTCAGAGTTGGTCTCTTAAACACAGGGTTTGACTGTATTTACTAACATGCATGTGGATACAATGTATTACACTTACTATCTCGATCAAAGTAATAAAACAGCCTGGTGTAATCCGGTTCACGTGATATGCGGCCATCTTTGTTTGTGTCTGCACGATGGAACAACGTGATAGCGTGGTCAAGATCTCCAAGGTGTAGTATTGACCAGTGAGCTATAAACTCTGTTTCATCAACAATGCCATCCCCTTGTAACAATAAATATATAAATTTCTATCAAAACCAAGTAATTATCTTCTTATCATATGTTTCTTAAAACTAGTTTTTTTTTAAACAAAATTTAATGACACATTCATACGATATTCACCTTTTGTTTTGTTTTAAAAAAAAAACTAATAAAAATAAGAAAAAACGTTTGGTCGTGATAAACCATCTATGTCTAAAACATATTTGCCATTTATGTCTAAAACATATTTAACAATTATGTCTAAAATATATTTACCATTTATATCTAAAACATTTACCGTCGTTTTAGACATATTCAACATTAATATCTAATCATTTACCATTTATGTCAAACTTTTTTATCATTATTTATGTAATTTTCTTTTTTAAATATTTATCTCTAAATCATTCAGTATAAATGTTTTACTAAATGATCAGTTATGTCAAACTTATTTGCTATTATGACAAACTTGTTTAACATTAATGTCTAAATTCTTACCGTTTATGTCAAATTTCATGAATATATCCGACATTTCATCGACTGTTAGAAATCCATCAGGCGTCCTATTGGTCTCAGCAACCATAAATATCGCACGTGCCAAAGGGTCATCAGGAATAACCGGCCGTCCTGGGTGGCATTGGACACTGCTAAAAGTATGAAAGAGTAAGTAACTAAGATAAATTTAAAGAAACATTTTTCAAAATGGTAAAATGGGTTCTCTGAAGATTCATTTATTAAGTTATATACACTTAACGAAACTTATAAGTACCCCAAAAACAAACTTGCATTAAACACGTGTTATTTTAAAAATATGCACATTAGATAATGATTATATGTAATGCCCCAATTTGTCGTCTGCTCAAAATGAATTTATGCGAAATTAATCATGCAAAACCATACTTTTAGAGTAGTCGTTGAAAATCGAAAACGAGCACGTGCACTTCGTGCAACTGACAATAATGACCAATATCAACATGTATCGATGGAGTGTAGATGTGCCTTACATAAAAACACAAAACATGGCTCGTATGTCGTTTCAAGAACGTGCAATCGCTATTGGACTTTTAGAAGCCGGGCGTCTCATGAGCAGGTATGTGGTTCAATACCCATTGTTCGTTTTATTGCATTTCAGTGCATGCATTCTACGACAAGCCCGTTGCATATCAGTATTATGAACCTTGTAATCCTTTGGGGTTTTTTCTAGGTTGCCCGAAGAATGCGTGTTACAAAGAAGTCTATTACTAGATTGGCCTCAAAGTACAGACGTATCGGAAGTGTCGCCAATCTTCCGAAGAGACCACGTAGAAGAGTGACAACACGCAGACAAGACCGGTTTATGGTTTTATCGCACCTCCGCCAGCGGAAGCGCACATCAGTAGAAACAGCAAGGGTGACATTTGGGACTCATGGACGGCCTATCAGCAGCAACACAGTCCGATCGCGCCTCAGATCCGTTGGTATTCGTGCCAGACGGCCGTATCGGGGAATTGTACTGCGTGGACACCACCGTCGTGCACGTGTCCGCTGGGCGAGGACTGATCTGAGATTCACACGTGCGGACTGGGCACAAGTCTTGTTTACCGATGAGTCCCGTTTCAATGTTCTGGGAAATGATGGGAGAACCCGTGTGTACCGCCGACGTGGTGAGCGTTATGCTGATGCGTGCGTCGTAGAAAGAGATCAGTTCGGCGGTGGCTCCGTAATGATATGGGCTGGAATTTCACTCCACGTGAAAACACCACTTGTTGCAATTCAAAGGAACTTAAATGCAGCTCGTTACCAGAACGAAATTCTTCTCCCCGTTGCCATTCCCATTATTCAACAGAACAGGGGCATGACACTTATGCAAGACGGGGCAACGAGCCACACTGCACGCACAACACGGGCACTCTTGCAACAGCAGAATGTCAACGTATTGCCCTGGCCGTCAAAGTCGCCCGATCTCAACCCGATTGAGAACATATGGGATGAACTTGGCCGGCGTGTCTACACAGGCCCGAATGCACCCACCAACCAAAGAGAACTACACAACGGACTAATGCAAGAATGGGCTAATATCCCAGTGGCTTATTTTAGAAATTTCATTATGTCAATGCGATCACGGTGCTTAGCAGTAATTAACGCAAACGGTGGACATACACGATACTGACTTCATAAGACTCTGGTGCGAATTTGTGTACTGGTAGTGATCTCGGTTTATGATCTTTTTTGTTAAGTTTGAGTTGTTTATAAATGAATTTTTGTTATGAAATGTTAAAAATATAATTAAACTTTACACAGCATAAGTTTTAAATATTTGCGTTAATCATATCATAATTTATGCTAAAAACTATAACTGGGGTACTTATAAGTTTCGTTAAGTGTATATAAAAAAACCTTAAAAATCAATCAATCAATCACTCAATCCGAATTGAATTGAATCGAATAGCATCGAATCGATCAGATCAAAACAAGTCAAACTCAAATTCAAAACCAAATAAATCAATTTATCTATCATTCAATTAAATGTACTAGAATAAATAAATGCATAAATAAATAGATAGAAAAATAAATGTTAATAAAGAAATAAATAGATAGATAAGATTAAATAAGATAAATAAATGACAAGAAGAATATATACGTACCTTAGCCAAACTGCTACCAAGGTGAGAGCCCCTATATGCACGTATGTCCACATCTATGTAACAGAGAAATAGGAGTATATAAACAAGGGCTTGTATAGTGTATGCATCAAACAATTTATTATGAGGGGTGCTTTGTTTCAAAAACCACCAAAATTATGTAATGAAAAGATGCTTGGCTTCAGAAAGCACCAAAACGAAGGTTGGTTTCAGAAAGCATATATCTAACAATGTTAAACTTACACAAATCACCTAAAAACAATGTTACGAGGACCTGCCTTGTTTACAAAATGCTGTTCATAATCTATTTGTTATTCTTAAATCTTAAATAAAGTGATTTACCAATAAGAATGACAAACGACATAAATGCAACAATTGTCTTACCTTCACTTTAAACGTCCACAAACAATTCACTGACGTTTTGGGTATTAATATCCGTGAGAATAGGCACAGATGCTCTGACAGTACGATATTGTCGCCTGCTATCAACAGGAACTAAAAATCCTCCTAAACATTTTGATAAATCGTCACTACCGATAAGGTCAAAAGGCATTCGAATTGATTCATTTGAATTAAATGAAGGACAAACAAAAGTATAAAACATTTCTTTGGTTTTTCAAACGAGAAGACAATTAAAATTTTACAATAAGTTTGCTATTACGGGTAACGAGCAATTTTAGGATAGTAGTGTTGTTGTTGGTGATGGTGATGATGATGATGATGAGGAGGAGGAGGAAAATAATGATGATAATGAAAATCATCATATGATGATAATGTTGTAGATGATGATGATAATGATGATGCTGATGATGATGAATCTATAATGATGATAATAATAATAATTATAGTTACAATGATGTTGATTAGATGATGATTCAGATGATGATAAAAATGATCATGATGAAAATGATGTTGATGAAAATGGTGATGGTGGTATAAAAGTGATGATTATGATGATACGATGACGATAGTGCTGCTGATGATGAACAGATAATAATGGTGACACAATATGGTAATGAAGAGCTAAGATTATGTTGATGAATAAAAATCTGCTGCTGCTACTACTGTTGTTGAAGATTCCTTCTTTATCGTTTCATAGCAGTTTCACTATATGCGTACAAAACATTAAATTTCTTCTATAGTCTTACATTCATAACCACATATACAAATATCTCTGGCCTAATTTTAACAATTCATCATTTGAGGCCTTTGTTTATGCTTTCTTTTAAAACCCGTTGACTTCACACTGATATGTCATCTAAGTTAACTTTGTGGTTCATTGCAGTTAATGCTCATTAATTCTGTTCACCTTATTAGTTATTCAAATCATATTTTCTTCAAATTTTTATGATCAATTAAAATCTATGAATTCACATAACATCACATCGTAGTGAATAATGTCAACTTCAACTGTTTAACTTTTTTTATTGCCTTAATACGGTTTATTAATTAGAACATAGTCTAAAACATTGAGTCGAATACCATAAAGATAAATTATTTTAACAAAAGTGACAAACAAAATCTAAAGGCAATTGCATCTTAAAACAACCTATACAAACTTTATAGTGTGTATTGAGGGGGAGGGTTGGGGATGGGGGTTAGAGGGCAGTGTTCTGTGGTTCATGGTCGAATTCGTCTGGTCGCTGACTTGCCTATTGGATTGTATGGGGTTTGTGTGTGGGTTCGAACCTTGCTGATGAAGGTCACTGCCGACACGTGCATATGAGTAATGCCCATGCGATCTTCCTCAAACCAGTATGTTTGGAAATTTTGAGTTAGACATATATCTACTCCCATCTCCTTGTCCAAGCAACCTGTCCCCTCCCCCCGCCAATACAGCCATACCAATACATAACCAGACAATCAGGAGATAGTTTCATATAAGCTTTAAGCCTGAATGCAATTTGAGCCGCGTCATGACAAAACCAACATAATGGGTTTGCGACCACCATGGATCCAGACCAGCCTGCGCATCCGCGCAGTCTGATCAGGATCAATGCTGTTCGCTGTCAGTTTCTCCACTTGTAATAGAGTTGGTAAGCGAACAGCATGGATCCTGATCAGACTGCGCGGATGCGCAGGCTGGTCTGGATCCATGCTGGTCGCAAACCCACTATGCTGGTTTTGTCGTGACGCGACTCATTTATATATTGTAATTTTGTCTGTAAATATTGAAGAAGAAATAAATATTGTTTAAACCAACGAGACAAACAAACTCCTTTTATTAACCAATGTAACAAGTGTTATGTTACCAAAGCCATCTATTATACAAACAAGATAATAAAAAACGTCATCCGTCTACTGTTGTAAAGTGTCTCGATCAAGTAGATAAACAAATTTGTCAAAATAGTTCTTCGTTTCCGAGTTGAAAATTTCGCTTTTTTCAATTTTCAAGGACAGATAACTCACAATGCCTTATTTCTAAAAGCATGTAGTTGACTTCCACTGAAGAGATTGCGCAAAATGTCAAGAATTGGTAATGAGCGGTTTGTTTGTTATTTTTCCCTTACTTGAAACTATGCCAATTTTCTTTAGAAAAGGCCTCCTAATTTTAAAGACAGTTTAGTTGACTGAAAGGTACGGAAATATATGAAATTATGTATTCTATGGTGGCACAAAGGTGACACATGTGTGTGTTTTTTATCTAGTGCGCACAAGATACTAAGTCGTGCGCACGAGATGATTAAGTGGTGCGCACGAGATACTATGTCGTGGCCACAAGTTACTATGTCCTGTGCATAAGATATTCAAGTGGTGCGCACGGACTACTATGTCGTGGCCATGAATAATTTAGTTGTGTGCATGAATTACTTTGTGGTGCGAACAAGATAATTAAGTCGACATTTTTTTTATATTTTGTGTCAGCCTTTCACTTACACGCATGTTTAATTTATTAATAACTGCTGAATATTCAGCTAAACCCGCGGTATGAGTCACAAAAAGAGTTCTTCTTTTACTAATGCGCGAGTTATTCTAAAGTCACGAAAAACTTTTGATCTGTTAATAAAAATGTTTTGTTTAATGGGGAAATATTTATTTCCTGCTTATAATTTCTATGAATTATTGAGCTTACTCCTTAATTATAGCATAATTTGCTGTCCTACTTTTTCGACAGCGGTAAAACGTTTAGCAGTTATTTGCATAATTGCGCAATAATACTACGGGGCTACAGCGTTTTTATCAATCAAATACGTTTATATTTTAACTTGGATAACTTAATTTGAAATTGAAAAGGCTAAATATGGAAGTTTTTAAGATATCCCGACGAAGTATGGGAGTTTCATAGGATCAAATTCATGTACTATTTCGAGGGCTGTTCGGTTGAATAATTAGAATAATTCTATCATATAAATTGAATAAAAAGAAGAAAATATTTGAAACTAAAATTTTTCCAAGAAATTAAATATGATATAACTAAAATTTTATAGCGAACTAAAAAGCCAACGAAATCCCATGTGTAGATGACATAGCTCTGAACGCGCCTGAGGGCGCGTCCGTCGCAAAAATGGGAGCTTAAAAAGTGCTTTTTATAAATTCTTCGGGTAAGATAAAACTTGCAAATATGAAAGTCTTACCATTGTCAGATTGGTCGGCTGTTCAAGTGTTTGCAACCCATCACATTACCCTTCCCATTACAAATAGAATAAGTCAAAAATAGAAATTACATGCATACTTTGACAAAAAAATGCCCCTATGTTAAACCGTTAATATTTGAAAATAAAGTGTGAAATATATCGCCAATATCTAACGTATATAAAACGTTTTTGAAACGTTCATGTTTTGCAAAAATAAAATAATTCTATCATATAAATTGAAAAAAAAGAAGAAAATATTTGAAACTAAAATTTTTCCAAGAAATTAAATATGATCTAACTAAAATTTTATAGCGAACTAAAAAGGACGTTACCTGATTCCCCACATGATTTGCGTTACTATTGTCGTATATAAACCAAATCAAGACATAGCTGCTTAAATAGCCTACTTATCAATTACGATTAGAATATGGGATATTTTAGTCTGCCCTTTTTGTTAAGGGCGGACAATTCTCTTTCTCCCTTTGAAGGGGAAACTTTGTCCCTTTCTCGTACGAGAAAGGGAATCCTGTGATGCGTGTATGTGGTCGCATGGTCGAAAAATTATAATGAAATGGCATCGTTTTCAAAGATGTCTGGGTACATAACAGTCTGGTACAATGATAATGTTATTAAAAAATCTTATGAAATTGTAATAAGGAGTTTTAAAAGCCAAATTAGTATTTAGATATTTTAAAAGCCTAATAAGGACTTTTTCACTTTTATTATAGAGCTATATAAGCCTAATTCTTCTAATTTAGAGAGATAAAAATTGAAACCTAATTTGAACTTTGTACCTGATAATTAGTTTTTTATAGTTATAACAAATAAGCAGTTCATTTTTCTTGATATGTTTCTAAAAACATCTAATTCGGACATGTATAGTCCTAATAAGTTTTTAGACAATAATTGAAATAAAGTATCTTTTTCTCATTCGTATTTAGGAGAATGGGCGTCCTAACTAGGCTTTAATAACTCTTATTTAATAGTGAAAATGTCCTAATTAGACTTTTAAAACTCCTAAGAAGTAACAAAGTGGTGATAAGGCTTTTAAAACTACTTTTTACGATTTCAAGATTTTTAGAACATTAAGATTTTGCACCTGACGATTCCGTACAAAAACACCTTTGAAAACGTTGTTTTCTTTCTTTCTTTCTTTTTAGACATATTCGGCCATGTGGCCACAAACATGCATCGATGACATGCAAAGGAAGTAACTTAGCGACATTTTACGGCAACAATTTGTTGGTAATTAGCGGTGGTTGCGGAATTTTGCGACAAAAGTGCGACATTTAGAGGCAAGTGTTGCATTAAGCGTCGTTGTGACATATAAGTTAACGGCGCCCCTGTGCGCACCACTTAGTATCTCATGGCCACGATATAGTATCTCGTGCGCACGAGATAAATAAACACGCACAAATGTCATCTCTTTCTGACCAAGAATGAAATGAATTTTTTTTATAACGAATATATTATACTGCATACAAAATTCTTGTGTTGAGTATTAAATGTAAACGATGAAGACGTAATTAAATTGCCGAATGTTTAAAATATTGCAGTATTATAGAAATAGCCGGAGTACGAACGGGAGATTGTTGCATGGATATCCATAAAATGATTGTATAAAGTACGTATAAAACAAGACCTTTTAAATCAACTAAAACAGCAATTCAACATTTAAATGGGCATTATAACCACAAATAGTCTGTTAAAGCGCCAACGCTCGCCAGTCTTCTTCTGTGACAGGTCCGGGATTCGTACTGAACAGCGAAAGCTGCTTTTTAGATGGACCCTCATTCAACACAAACTACTAGAGTTTACCTAGATCTAGCTGGTAGTTTTATTATATATAATAGCTGTGATAGGACGAAAGAAGTTAGGTGCAACGAGACGAAGTACACAATGTACATACGAAAAAAGTCCGCATAAAGTTCGCGGAAAACAATAATTTGTTACTTTGTCG